ACAGAAGAAAATGTGATCAGTATTACACTTGCCCTTGCCCAGGATGATATCGAGATCAATTAGTATCTCCTATTCAAATCGACACCAGCACATTTTGTGAATTTGACCAACTATTTTTGGTCATACCAGTATTTCACTTGTATTCCCACTGAGTTTTGTTCTCAAGTGGTTTTGTGACATCATACAAAAACTTTGAAAACCATGCAAAGAGCTTTATTGACCAGCAATTCGAGCAGAAGCCTCAGGAGATGAAGAATTTATTGTCAAATGTTTTATGAACCAGTGATTATGGTGTTGAACCAATGTTGTTATCATATGGTTTTCCTTTATTGATACAAGATGAATATTTCTTTCCACAGAAGGAGAACTGAAATTTTAAACAAGAAACTAGTAGTACCAACTAAGGTTAAACGACATGTTGTTGTTAAGCATCTCGATATGATATGGTCCAAGTTGCCTTATTCGAGATCTGATTATATATGGAAACATGAAAGGAATTGGAATAAATCTTCCTTGTGATGTGTTTCAAGAGTTAAAACAGAACAAACTCTACTCTCCCAATTAATTCTTGCTGAGTCAGGCATATCTACATCTTACCTCTTCAAAGATGATAGATTCTCTTTTCAAAGATGAAAGCTTTATGGGATTTCTACACAAGTCCAAGCAAATAAAGTTGGTGTTATCCAAGACAAAATGAGGCATCAAGGTCATAGTTCTGACTACGACAAGAGTTCCACAAATGAAACAATTCTTCTGAGACTTTCATGAAGCAAAGAAGACATAAAGATACAAGTTGATCAGATGGTTTTTCAGAAATGCAAGCTTGGTAGCATAAGTTGGTACACTGATATCCAGAGGTGACCCTGTCAATAAATGATGAAGTGGAGGAAAACCGAGTTCACCATTTTGAAATCAAATAAACTTAACATTCATGCATCATATTTAGGTATTTGCAAAAATAGGTGCATTTTCATTCATTTTATCCATGTTGAATTTTGATATGAATTTCAAAGATTTTAGCAAAGATTAAAATCCATCGCTTGATGGATCAGCTTTTCCAGAGAAAGTTCATAATGAGAAGAACTCATCTGAAGAAGGAAGAAGAAGTTCATAATGAGAAGAATTTGTTCAACCTTTTGTTTGAATTCATCATTTGATGGATCAACATTGCCAGGTAGAGTTCATAATGAGAAGAACTTGTCATCTGAAGAAGAAGAAATTCATAATGAGAAGAATTTGTTCAGCCTTTTGCTCAAATCCATCACTTGATGGATCAGCTTTTCCAGAGAAAGTTCATAATGAGAAGAACTCATCTGAAGAAGGAAGAAGAAGTTCATAATGAGAAGAATGTGTTCAATATTTTGTTTGAATTCATCATTTGATGGATCAACATTGCCAGGTAGAGTTCATAATGAGAAGAACTCATCATCTGAAGAAGAAGAAATTCATAATGAGAAGAATTTGTTCAACCTTTTGCTCAAATCCATCACTTGATGGATCAGCTTTTCCAGAAAAAGTTCATAATGAGAAGAACTCATCTAAAGAAGGAAGAAGAAGTTCATAATGAGAAGAATTTGTTCAACCTTTTGAATTCATCATTTGCTGGATCAACATTGCCAGGTAGAGTTCATAATGAGAATAACTCATCTGAAGAAGAAAGAAGAAGTTCACAATGAGAAGAGCTTGTTCAACCTTTTGCATAATTCTATCACAGAAGCAGATAGATTAGCATCAGCTTTTCCTGAGAAAGTTCATAATGAGAAGAACTCATCTGAAGAAGAAGAAGTTCACAATGAGAAGAGCTTGTTCAACCTTTTGCATAATTCTATCACAGAAGGATATAAATTAGCATCAAACTTTCCAGAGAAAGTTCATAATGAGAAGAACTCATCTGAAGAAGAAAGAAGAAGTTCATAATGAGAAGAGCTTATTCAACCCTTTGAATGACTCTATCACATAAGGAAATAGGTCAACATCATCCCCAGAGAAAAGTTCATAATGAGAAGAACTCATCTGAAGAAAGAGAAGAATTTATTCAACATCTCCATATTAATCAAGTGAAGTCAAATGAATTTTTTTTATCTTTTCGTCTTTGCTCTATTCTTGTTAACACAAGAATAAGCAAAGAGGGGCAGCTGAAGATACTCATTTTTTTATTTTTTTATTATAAATATTATTATTAATATTATTTTTATTAAAATTATTATTATTACAAACAGGCCCAGGTTATCCGGCCCAATTACAAATTACATCAGAAGCCCAACAAAAGGGCCCAAATCGAAGGCCCAATCAACCGGCCCAGACCAAAATGAAACCCTAAACATTTAGGGTTTCAGCTAGGGTTTCTAACCCTAGCGCCGCAATCGCCTCTCCAGCTGCCAGAAACCATTGCCGACGGTCAGCTGCCAGATGCTCGAACCCACTTCAGCCACGACGCCGCCGCCTCGCTGAAAACTCCAGAAGCTTTGCTGCATCAACACCCGTCGCCCACGTCGCAAGCTCTAGGGGTGAGTCACCACATAGCTCGGTGACTCACTGAACTCCATTCCTTTAACAGGTCCGAGCAAGCGACCGAGATGGCTATAAAGCCATCGTACCTGCAAAAATGAAAGAAAGAAAAATAGGAGGGAGAGAAGAAAACCACAGCAACCAACAGGAGAAAAAAAAAGAAAGAAAAAAAACAAGAGAAAAAACGAACAAACCAGCAACCGAAAAACACCAAAATAAGCAAGGAGAAGACAGAAAGGAATTTACCGGGGAAGACAACGCCTTGATCGGAGTCACCACCGGCCTCCAAACGTCACCAAAAACCTTCGAAAACCGAAGGTATTTTCCTAGATTTGCTCCGTTCGGGAGCTATTTAAGAGAAAGGAACACCGGAACAGTCATTAGGACGGTCCGATCTACGTTTTAGAGTAAAAAAAAATTTCCCGGCCACCGAAGGCGGTGGCCGGCGGCGGGGTTACCGCCGGCGAACGGCTTCCGGCCGGTGACCGGCTTCCCTCCGATGAGGGAAGCTAGAGAGAGGCAAGAGAGAGTTTAAACTCTCTCAGTTTAGAGAGAGAAACGAAAGTGAGAAATGAGAGAGCTGGCCCAAAGGGCCAGCCGTTTCGGGCTTTAAATAGCCCTTCCCAAACGACGTCGTTTTAGGGAGGGCTATTTGTGTAATTTTTAAATGTTAAACTATATTCGTAGTCCCTCTGTTTTATATGTTTTATATTTTAGTCACTGAATCAAATTTATAATCCTTTTAATTTGGTCTCTAAATTTTATTTATTTATATTTTAGCCCTTAACCGTAATTATAAATATTTTAGATAAAATACATATTTAGTCCTTTAGTTTTAATAAATAATATTTTAATCCCGAGTATATATTTTTAATTTATTTTAATTTGATATTCGAATTTTATATAATTTTATTTTAGTCACCAAATTAATAAATAAGGAGAAATAGCATGTTTAATCCCTGTAATTTCAAATAATTAATTATGAATTAGGTATTTAATTTTATTAGATTATAATTTAGTCACTATTTTTAAATATTTTCATTTATTATAAAGTTTTATTGCTTTTAAATATATAGTTCTAATTGTATTTTTATTATTGTTTATTTATGTTTTAATTTTACTTGTTTATATATTTAAATATTATTTTTATTATTATTATATAGTCATATAAATATATATATATAATAAATAATAATTTATTTTTTACATAAATTATTTTTATCATATTTTAATATTTATTTATTTTTCAATATCGAAGAAAAGGGCAATCTTAATACAACTGGATGTCCTATTCTGGTATTTTAAAATTAAATATTATAAAAAAAATTATAATTTAATTTTATTTAAATTATTATATTGTTAATATTTATTAATATCGAAGAAAAGAGCTGTCTTAAGGCACCTAGAAGTCATTTTCTGATATTTCTAAATAAATAAATATTTTATTTATAAATATATATAAATTAATATTTTTTTTCATAATTATAATTTTGAAATAATAGGATTATAAATTAAATATATTTTGAATTCTTAAATTTCTAATAATAGAGACAATGTATAATTAAAAAGTACCAATTTTGGGCGTTGTAGGGGTGCTAATCCTTCCCTAAACGTAACCGACCACGAATCTCTTTTTATCATTAAAAAGAATGAATTTTTGGTTAAAACGCAGATCAGTTTATCTTTTAATCGATGTTTTCTGAAAAACTCTTTTAAAGGATGATTTTTAGGTATTCGACCTACCTGATCCAAAAGGCCGATGACGACTCCCAAATTATTTTAAAAAAACCATTTATTCACATCACTTTTCCCATACAAGTAAAAAATTCGAGCCCGGACGAAAACCGATTACGACACTATATAAAATTACAAGAGAATGGACGAATGAAGTACATAATCACACTTATTCTATGACCTTTATCACAAGGAAGAATAAGATGAGAGAGAGAGAGAGAGCTGGTTTTTGGCCATACATATCAGTTAGTCTGACCTCCTAGGAAGGCAAACTTCCCTTCCCCAACACTTCCCTTTCTCCAATAAAAACCTTACCCAATTCCCACCATTAATGCTCTCTTATCTCTCTCTTTCATTGTATTCTTTTTATTCCTTCCTTTTCGTTGACAAATATATTGCTTCTTTGCTTTCCATGGATGACAACACTAGTAGTGCTACTTCAATGCCACCAGGGCTTGGCCATGATCAACATAGCACCCCCAACATCCTTTCCTTGAACTCGATCATCATAATCGTCGTATCAATCATCTCGCTTCTCGTGATTCTCATCGGCTTTCTGATTATCGTAATGCTTCGTCGACTGAAATCGGTACGAAAAAGCAGCTGCTGCAAAGAAAGTAATGGTGACATCCACAATCCAAGTTGCAAGTTCGTTGGTCATACTACCATAGACTTCACCTCTAGTCCAGGTGAGTACCAAGTACCCCTTTTTTTTGGGAACTCATGTAATATGCATAGTTTGAAACGCACGCCATTAACAGATGTGAAATCAAGCAGATGTGAATGCAAATTGTTTATATGGAGGAAGTATGCGTAAACCTGCTATAAGTCGATATAGAGGGGTGCAAGTTTTCACTTACAAGGAGCTCGAATCGGCCACCGATAACTTCAGCGAAGCCAATGTGATCGGGAACGAAGGGTTGAGCGTCGTGTATAAAGGGGTCCTTGTTGATGGTACTGTGGCAGCCGTTAAGAGGCATCACCTTGATCGAAAACAAGGGGAGCGTGCTTTCAGGATGGAAGTGGATCTGCTAAGCCGGTTGAACTCTCCTTATTTAGTGGAGCTATTAGGCTACTGTGCTGACCAGCACCACAGGCTTCTGATATACGAATTCATGCCCAATGGTACCCTGCAACAGCATCTTCATCATCCCGGCAACGAATATCGGCTGTTGGATTGGGGAAGCCGGTTAAGGATAGCCCTTGATTGTGCCAGAGCACTTGAGTTCGTCCATGAGCATGCTACCCCTACTGTTATCCACCGTGACTTTAAATGCACCAATGTGTTACTAGACCAACACCTCCGAGCCAAGGTGTCCGGTTTCGGATTGGCCAAAATGGGGTCGGATAAGATCAACGGTCAGATTCCGACACACATGCCGCGGTCCACAGAATACATAGCTCCAGAGTGAGTGCCTCAAATCATGTCTCATGCACATGCATATCTATCACTGCCATACCAATGAATATGCAACCAAAGGTCCTTATTAGGTGGATGTCATTTTCTTAATTGATAAAGTTGCTAGGTAGAAGAGAAAAACTTCATACCCCCTGGACCATTTGGAGAATGATTTTGCATTAAATGCCCCATCTAGGAACAAATTTCAGAATCTTATGAAATTTGTTATTTTCTATGACTTTGCAGATATTCATCAACAGGAAAACTCACCACAAAATCAGATGTCTACAGCTATGGCGTCGTGCTTTTTCAGCTTTTAACCGGTCGAGTCCCGGTCGACATCAAGCGGCCTCCTGGGGAACATGTCCTGGTTTCATGGGTAAATTCCTTGAGTCCTCTAAGAAATTGTTTCAAATTATGGTTCCAACTTCTGATAATTTGACAGGCACTTCCAAGACTAACAAACAGAGACAAAGTGGAAGAAATGGTTGATCCATCTATACAAGGAGAGTATGCCAAGAAGGATCTAGTTCAGGTGATGTATACTATCAATATATATATCATTGAATTGAACAGTCATAGCTGGTGCTGAGCTTGTGATACATGTTCACTTATTTGTTCCCCAGGTGGCTGCTATTGCTTCGATGTGTGTGCAACCGGAAGCCGATTATCGACCTTTGATGGTCGACGTCGTACAGTCACTGATCCCTTTAGTTAAGAACTTCGATTCGGTTAATTCACCCGGTTTCTCTAGATTTAATCGTCGAAGCACCGGTCCGAAGTCTTTGCAATATGTTTGGAAATTGCAGAGCTAGATAACTCTTTTTCCTGTTCTTCTGGTTGCATGAAAAATAAATAATTAAGAATCAACATTGCCACAATGCCATTGGTGAAGTGATGAGTTCATATCTGGCATGGCATGTAAATGTGACAAGTTGATGTTTTTTCTCCATTTTTGTATGAATATAATAACACGTTTAGCCCTCCACGTTTACACATTATCTCTATTCAGTCCTAATGATAAAAAAAACAACAAATTTAGTCCTCAACATTATGTCTATTTGATTGACTCACAGGGAAGAGACAAACGGTCTGGTTAGTGGAGCGATGGTGATTGCATAAGGGACTGTACCAAAAACACAGTGTCTTGGTTATAATTGACAACAGAAATGTCCATTGAACTAAACACCATCCGTGAGGATAGTGACTAATGAAGTAGATTTTTTTTTAATCTAATCCTAATTATTTCTAGAGGAAAGAAGAAGAGACTCTCGAAGAAGGAAAGAGAATATTTTTAGTAGGTGTATAACCCATGACCTAAGAAAAAGAAGAGAAAAATATGAACAACTTGAATAACCGATCAAATGTTCTTGCTCTGTTGTTTTACCTTTCAAGATTAGTTTTTAACATTCTTATTGCTCCACCATTTTCACATGTAATTCAAACATAATATAAAGAGTAGGGATAGTCATGAGTCGGGTTAGGTTAAGATTTTAGTTCATTCGAACTTGATCCTATAATTAGATATCTCCACTTGCATTTGACCCGATTCGAGCTTAAAAGGGTCTCACCTGACTTGAAATCTGACGTGATTTTTAGGTCAAAATTCACACTCAACTTGATTCGACCCCTCTCTCTCTATCTATATATATATATATGGGTTTAGAATTCACATATACCTAGTTTTAGGATTTTGGATGAAAGAAAATCAAAAGATGTCCTTATTTTTTTTTCCAGTGAATACATTCTCATTTTATAGTGAGTAAAAAGAGATTGTTTTACTGTGAGCTAAAAAATATTTATTTATGAGTTATAAATTTTAATTAAATCTACGTCATTTATTTATTTAAATCTAATGAGTAAAAATTAGTGTAAACTTGTTAATTTTACGTAGTTAAACCGATCTTGCCTTATATATCTAATAAGAATTTAATTGAAAAGAATAAAAAATAAATTCATATTATTATAGTAATATTTTTAAATATAAAGAATAACAATATTATGTCGAATTAGATTGTATCGTTTTTCATCATAGATTCAAATCTAACCTAACTACACCTTAAAAAATTATCTCGACCCAAACTCAAAATTTTAAACTAAAAATTCAATCAAATAAAATTAGATTGAATCATAATCTATTGGTTCAGGAAGAAATATACATCTCAATAGGAACCTTCCCATTTATTAGAGCACCACCCTATAAAATGCAGGGACTCTACTCTCATATTTGTGGTCCAAGATAAGAAGGCCGATGACCTAACAAATTTATGGTCATTGATATACAGTTTGTTCAACTGGCAAACATGGTTTTTCTTGGAGACTTAATAATAAGGTTTAAAGAACACTGCCCGGTCAAGAGGGGCAATACTTTTGAAAGGTTATCAAGAGAGGGTGAATTTTCAAGGTTGTTGCTTGTGGATGACATGGTTTCCCATTCAACAAGTGCAAATATAATGAGCATTAATTTCCCATCTATAAGGTTGTCTGGCATCAGTTATTTCAGTAATCTTCCTCTCATGGCTGAATCCTCTAACGTATCTGCAAACTTTGGTTTCATGGCTTCAAGAATGCTGCTTTTCGGGCTGTTTATGGCATCCCTATACACCACAAGCATGATGCCCGCAGATGCTCAGATAGGTGTTTGTTATGGACAGCTCGGCAACAACTTACCGCCCAAGCGCGACGTTATATCCCTCTTCCAGCAGAGAAACATCGGAAGAATGCGGCTCTACGATCCGGACCGAGCTGCCCTCCAAGCTCTTCGGGGCACCAACGTTGAGCTGATGCTCGGCGTTCCGAATTCCGACCTTCAGAGTGTCGCGGCTAGTCAAGCCAACGCAAACGCCTGGGTCCAGAACAACGTTCGAAACTACGGCAACGTTAGGTTCCGCTACATCGCTGTTGGAAACGAAGTTCCACCTTCGGATCCGGCGGCTCGATCTGTCCTACCTGCTATGCGGAACATTCGCAACGCGATCGTTGCAGCTGGACTCGGTAATCAAATCAGAGTATCTACAGCCATTGACATGAGGGCCATTGGAGAATCTTACCCTCCTTCGAGAGGATCTTTTAGTCCCGACTACCGCCCGTTTCTCGATCCCATCATTCGTTTCCTGGTGAACAATCGAGCCCCATTGCTCGTTAATGTGTACCCGTATTTCAGCTACGACGACAACACCGTTATCGGTCTAGATTACGCTCTCTTCAGATCACAGGGCCCTGTCGTCTCGGATCCTCCACTGCAATACACTAACCTTTTTGATGCCATGTTGGACGCTGTTTACGCTGCCTTGGAGAAGGCCGGCGGTGGTTCCTTGGAAATTGTTGTGTCGGAAAGCGGATGGCCTACTTCCGGAGGTAGGAAAAGGGGAGCAACAAGTATTGATAATGCAAGAACCTACAACCAGAACTTGATCCGACATGTGAAAAGAGGGACTCCAAAGAGGCCTAATAGGCCTATAGAAACTTATATTTTTGCCATGTTGATGAGAACACAAACAGGGGGAAGAAATTGAAAGGCACTGGGGACTCTTTTTCCCAAATAAGCAGCCTAAATACAGCATCAACTTCAACTAAATCATAAAGATGAACCTTTCCCTATAGTAATTTGCCAAGTTAGAGCATGTAACTCCTACAAGATACTAGAAATAATAAAACACTACTTGCATGTGATGATAATTGATAAGTTTAAGAATGATCCCATCGATGAGTTATCGTGATAAGATAAATTATTTTCAAATATCTGGCCATCAACATTTATATCCAACAAAGATCATCAAAGTAAAATAATTAAAAATTAACGATTAATTTGTGCAGTGGGATGAGATGTTAGATTTTTTAAGCAAGGTCAGGAGTTCAGATTCCGACATTTGCTAATGGAAAAAACTGGGTTGAAAAAATCGCCTCAATAACGAGTCTTTACGAAACCCATTTTGGAATAGTTGATCAATAGATCAAATACTTCTATTGTCATTCTTTAGTTTATCGAGCGTTGAGACTTTCAGAGTTTCTAAAAAATCCCCCGAGAATATCTTATAGTGTTCCTTGAAGCTTAACAAATACCATGTCCCCCGAAAAATAAATAATTCCTTGATGTGATTCTTGACAGGCCCATATGATCTGTTAGAATTTTATTATTTGATAGTCAAATCTATTTCGTCTTACGACTAATCTATGAATAATTATTATCACCCTAGACCTGACACCATCACTAATGGTCATAATATAAATCTCTCATACAAATAAGACGGGAGCTCTCTCCCCCCTCTCTTTGGTTTGGGAAGGGTGACCATTCTCAGTACACACTCTCTAAAAGTACTTGTTGCGACTCTCGATTCAAATCAGAAGGGATGAATCACCTATAATTGTCATACTATATATTTTTTTTATCAATAATTAATACGGTGAACGTGGTGTATATTCCAACTAGGGCTGTAAGTGAGACGAGACAGATCGCGAGCTACTCGAGATCGACTCGATTAAGGCTCGATAAATACTCGGATCGAATGGATTTGACTCGAACTCGAGCTCGACTCGAGTTCTTAACGAGCCGAAACGAGCTACTCGATATTCGACTCGAAAAGCTCGTGAGCAGATATAATATATTAAGATTTTACTTTTTTAGAAAATAAATTATTAATAATATTAATATTTATGTATTGATTTTTTTTAAAATACAATAAGATTTTTATGTATTTAAGGTTCATGTTCGAGTTTGAGTTTGAAGCTTCAATCGAGTTAAGTTTAAGAATTTTTTTCTTCATTTCGAGCCTTTTCGAGCTGCTCACAAGCTTCAGTTTAAGAATTCGAGTTCGACTTAAACTCGCGAGTTTTCGAGCCGAGTCGATCTCTATTTCAGAGTTTTCGAGTCGAGTCGAACACAGCAATACTCGAGCTCGACTCGGCTCTTTTACACCCCTAATTCCAACCGAAAAGAATCAAGATGAATCCTAAAAGCAAGATGAGAATCTTACCTCACATTTCATTCTCAAATAATCTTGGTATTTGTTAATATTACTCTATAGTTCACGATAAGTAATAGGTACAAGTGGAGCATCAGTGATGATGTCTTTAAAAACAATTCATTTTGATTTAAAATGAATTTTTGACGAGAAAGATGAATTTATCGAGATAAATTTCTAGTTCGAAAAATTTAACAGGACATTGTATAAAAAACCTTGGTTTCTAGATGATGTTCCTAGCATATTTACACTCGATTTTAGTTTCGAGATTTTATATTTAAATTTTAAAAATTAATATTATTAAAACAGTTAATCAATATTTTTCTAGTAGTCTAAATCGATTATAAAGTAATATTTATTCAGGATTTTTTTACTTATTAACAACGCATATAAATATTGTAGAAACAACTATTATAACTCAAATATTTTAAAAAGAACAATACTCCTTTTTATCACTTAATCGCTCAATGAATTCGTTAATAAAAAAATTTTAAACCGATATTATTTGAAATCAAGAATAGTTGGGTCCATGAACCGTTTGGAATCAACAATGTTAATGTAAGTTCTTAAGCAGCGCTATATCACTTCATCAAGGTTTCGAGTTCGAATCTATGTGTATGCATAGAATCCCTTAAAAACTTACTAATCAAAATCTGTGCGATATAAATGGATCCGAATTATTTAGGAAGAAGGTAAAAGAAAGAATAGTAGGGTCCATAAACCGTTTGGAATCAACAATTGTACTGACATTGGTGGTGATGGCACATGGAACACTGACGAAACACACGTATGTGTTGATGAAAAAGACAACATGTCCAAATTAAGAGCATGGAACATCCGTGATTATTACGACTAAACACTAAAGTCTAACCCACGAGGTTCATGATTTGGATTTGCTACGAGTTTAATAATAATAAAAATTAATTAAATGATGTTTCTTTTACATCTTAAACCACATGAAAAGGCCTGGCTAGTTATCTGTTAGCCAAGCTAGCTAGTTGTAGAGGGGAAAGTTTAATGGTAGAATAGCAATTCTAATCCCTCTAAATGACAATAATTCAATTTAGTCCTTTTGACCTTTTGTTTAATGAAAAATTCATAATTTTGACCCTCATAAAAATTTAGTTTGAATCGATCTGGACTCAGAATTTTTTTATAAAATTCTTTGACTTTATAAGACTAAATCGAAATTGATCAATGATAATCCATATTCATAACGAATTCGGGCACATCTCTACCCAAAAAAAAAAGAGCAAAAGGGTAGCATTTGCATTGTATTAGACTCAATTTATCATTTTCGTTCCATCGTGTTTTCGCATCAATTTAGTCCTCAAAGTTGCTCAATTGCATCATTCTTAGAGATGGGCATAAGACTCGAACCCGGCAGGTTTCAAACCCGACTCGACCCGATCCGACCCAAAAGAACTATAATTTTACCTTATATATTTAGGGATAATTGCAAAATACCCTTCTATATATTATTATTTTTCAATTAAATCCCTATTTTCATTGAATAAAAATAATATTTTTTATTATTTCAGAACATGTCGGGTCAGGTTCGGACGTTATATCAAAAAGTTGGGTCGGGTTCGAGTCGTGTAGATGGTGTATATTTTTCGGGTTGAGTTGGCCAAAATCAAAAACCCTAATCATCCTATACTCTACTCCTAAATTATAAATCCTAAACCATAATCTCACTACCTCTAAATCATATATCTTAAACCCCAAAACCAACTCATTATTTATAATTTAGGGTTTTAAGTTGGAGAAATGATATAGAATGAAGGAATTAAATAACTTTGAAAGCTAAATTGATGTAAAAATATGATGGAAATAAAAAATAATAAATTAAGTATACTACATGGATAAATGTGACGAGGAAAAAAGGCAAAAGGTACAATTATTTGTTCGGGTACAAAGGCAATGTCTTTTGTCTAAAGTTACTGCTTTATGTAAAGTTTTAGCATTACAAGTTAGAATTATTGTTTCAAATCCACCAACTTACAAGTTATTTCAATTACATCCCTACCTCTTTTCATCCTATCCCAATCATGTTAAATCAATAAACAAAAAATTAATTAAAAATAATGAAAAAACATTGTATATAGATAATCAATAAATTAACGAAAACTTGCTTAAAAATAAATAAAACATTGTATAGAAATGTACATATCTACACAAAGGTCGTGGATTTCAAGTGGAATATAATATTTATAAACTATTAAGAAACGTTAAACCTTTAAACCGGAGGACGGCTTGAGTCAGGCACGGGTCCAACCGGCAAGCTTGAGGTTACTTCACCGTCATGAGCGGCCACCTTGGGTGATTTCATGGAGGATGCTCGACTGAAAAATGGCGGTTTATTACTTAACACCCACCGGTCCGACTTAGCTCCACGGTCCAGCTTCCCTCGACTACTCCCTCCTTCTTCGGATGTTCGATACCCCCTACGCGAACTCCTTTCCCTAGGCAACACCAAACTCGTCGCCCGGTTTAACTTACGGTTCATCAATTGCTTCCGAACATCGACCGGTAATCGCAAAGTGAACCGGTCGGTGTTCTCACCCGGTTGGACCAAAGAATGTCCGGTCGAGTGAGATCGTAGGAAAGAAAGTTTACGTGGACGGCCGGATCTCGAGCCACGTGTACGGTTCCTATTTAAAGTTGCGTTTGAGTTATTTTCTTCAACCTCTGCCTCGGTATTATCATCGTTATTGGTTGTCCTCCTTTCCTCCCCCGGTACCAAGTTACCGCCGTCGTTCTGAGCCTCGAGGTCTAACACGGCGACGGCGGTGAGTGACTCACGGGTCGCCGGGTTCAGGAACGAGATTAGCTCTACAACGGGGCAAGTAGTATGAGAAGCCAGCCAGGCATCGATGCATTCAGTGTGGAAAACGTGGTCGCATTTGGGTATCAAACGCAGCGTTTCGTCGTCTTCGAACTCGTTCAAACAAACGGCACACTCCAACGCTCCTTTTCCGATCTTATGATCCTTAACCTCGGAGTAAACCATGACGGGGAGCGTCTCGATCACCGCCGCTTCGAGCCCTCGTCCGCGCATCGAACGCCCGGGGCCGCCGTTGACGGGGCGGACGCCGCGTCTTATTCTGCTGGCGTCGGAGCAGTTGCGGATGTAAATAACGAACAGCCCGACGAAGAACAAGGCGGCAATGAGAACGACGATTATTATGGCCAGGGAAGGGCTGAAACGGGCGTAGGAGTAACGCTCTTCGTTTCGGTTGAACTGAGCGGTGGAAGGCTGCAGAGAGAGGAGGAGAAAAGAGGACTGAGAATGAAAGAGAGAAGATTCCATGGCGGGTGGCGTACGACATGGTGGGGGAAGGAGCATTTGTGAGAGTGGGAAGAAAGAAAGGGTGTGGTGGGGGCTTAAATATGAAGAGTGTAAGTTCCACGGTGGTTCATTGATGGCAGCCACAATGGAAGGGCGGTCCTTTTGAGTTGTTTGTTTGACGTAAATGGAAGCTTCACAACGGAAAATGCAGACTTTTCTCACCATGTGGGGCGTGGAAATCACAATTTAAAAAACAAGACTAAATTTGCATTTCATTTAAATTCTTTATTTTGTCTTTTATTTTCATTAAAATTTTAAACCAGTTTGACATTTAAATCATATTTGTACAGTGAAACTGATAATTTTTTTAAATAATATACGGTGATTATAATATAGTATTTGTTTTAAATTTTTTAATATATCGACAGACTTTAGACATATTACAGACTTAATTATTCGAACTCAATATTTTAAAAAAAATAATATTTCTTTTTTCTATTTTTGAGTCCACTTAATGAATTTAATAAACTATTAATTATTTAATATATTAATTGAGAATTTGATAATCCCATTAAAGTGTACTCAAATGATTTAAAAGTACTAACTTTGATATTTTATTCTCATCATATTACAAATTAGTCATTGTACTTATAATTGACCTTTGTCCTGGCTTATATAAAAGCTTTAAAAATTCATTACTTGCCTAGCAAGGACAACTTTTCAAAGAATAATAAAAAAACCAATTACTTGTAACATTAAAATTATAAACAAATGAAATCCAATTTGATTAAAAAAGTTAATTTTTAGAATTTTAAATTATTCAAGTCAAGTTAAACTTTTGATTTGGATATTGAGTTCGAATCGAGTTCGAATTTGTAAAATTAAAAAACTGGAAATTAAAATGACATCATTTTGGTCTTTCGTTGATTTATTTATTTATATTTTTGTGATTTGTGTCTCTGATTTTCTTTTTCCTTCAATTTCTCTTTTGTCTTAAGTCTATTTCGATGAGATTTGAACCAAATACTCTTCAACTATCTTACAATACATGTGTAACTTCATTCTTTTTTATAATAACTTTTCTATTTCTATAATTTAATCTCTCAATTTTATATTTTATTCAATTTGTTCCTCCGACTATAACTCTTTACATATTCTTTTCTTCCATCAATTTCTCGACTCATTTATACTAGCATCCATAATTTTTATCCTCAAAGTTTCTTCTTTAAAAATAACATTATAAAACTATTATATAATTTTATATGATATTTAATTTATTAAATATAATTACATGATTGATCACTTTTGTTTATGTTTTGTGCACTTTTCCTCGTTGAATTAAAAATATAATATTTGACCACTTTCGTTTTATTTAATTAAAATGTGGTCACTTTCATTTTTATTTAATTAAGATGTGGTCACTGAGGGTTAACTGCCATTAGATTTTTAACGGAGTGTTGATATGTCATAATAATATAAAAAAAGGGTAAGCTACACAAATGATCAATAATATTTGAGTAAATTTTTGTTTTCCACATGGAAATTTCAAAATCAACAAATTGGTTACTAAATCATCAAATAGTTCCTTATGATTCTTCTATTACCTCTATCTGTCATCTATTAATCCAGAAAAGTGAGCTTCAGAAATTTGATGAAGTATTTCATACCGATGAAGAAGAGAATTCAATGATGGGAAAGTTCGGGAAAATTTCAATCCAAAGGTGTATTTTCTTTCTTTCTTTTTCGTGGATTTTATTTTTCTGGTCATTCTTCTACTCTTAATGGGCGGTGTGGAGTAAGGGGATGAAGAAACCACATAGGGGGATGCATATCACAAAACGGTATAGACCAATTTGTTATTTTAAAAACTTTAGTAGAAAACTAGAAATTTATTCAAATATTAATGATCATTTGTGTAATTTACCCTTTTTAATTTTATATATTTACTATGTCACATCAACAATCCGTTAAAAATATAGCGGAAACTAAGCCTAAGTGATTACATATTCATTAAATAAAAATGAAAATGATCATATATTATTTTCTTGAAATCGGTGAGGAAAAATGAACAAATCAGTGAGGAAAAATAAAAGCGATCAATCATGTAATTAAAGATGAGTTTTTAAATTGGAACTAATCACTCTCACATCTATTATAAACAATTAAATTAAAATTTAAACAAAAATTCAAACAAATATATTTAATTTGACTTGACTCGATATACTTAAAGTTATTAATTTTATAATTTTATTATCGGATTTATTTTAGTCATTACAATATAATATTTTATCCTTTATCTACTTTTTAACTTAAATTAAAGGGTTACTCATAGTTTATCTTTAAAAAGTTTATAAAATCTATATTGCTTGCCTCAATAATTGTAAAAGATGAGCATAAAAGAAAAAAATTAAGCTTTAAACTTTAATAAATATTATATATTTGGTATTCTAGAAGAACCAAATTCCAAAATTAAGGCCATTGGCAGCTTTGCAAGACCTTTTAAATTCAGAGGACCCACCTTTAGAAATTGAAGCTGGCATCCATTGAATTTTAGAATGGATTCCATTCTCTTTTATTTATTTACTTTTTAATATAATTTTAATTTCATACTTGACTTTTTTTTTTCTTTCAAATTGATTTATTTTTATATTTGTTTTATAATACATAAAAATAATTACTTTTAAATTTAAATTCTTTTATTTAGAGTGTAATGTCTTTAAGTTTAATGTACTCGAAATCCTCCAAGTTTTGAAAAAAAAAATCAAAGTGACCCTTAGACTTATTTTATATTTAACAACTCTTAAATTGAGAAAATAATTATTGCGGTCCATGAACTTATTTTTGCATCAAATGCGACCCTTAAATCTGGGATCAAAAAATTAATTTGTTTCTTTGACCAACGGAAATTAATGTTGATCGTTATAATGATAATGTGACGATCTACGATAGTTACATGACGATCTACAATAATGACGTGATAATTCATGGTAGATGATGATGTGTAAAGGGGCTTAATTGTTTTTTATAAAGTTTGAGGAGTTATTTAATGTTTAAGAAAAAAATGAAAAATTATTTAAATTTAAAACATAAAATATAAAAATACTAAAAATAAAAATTAAATTATTAAAAATATACTATAAAAAGTATCAAAAAATAAAAATACCACAAGCTATAAAATGATAAATCATTAAAAATAAATATTTAAAAAAATTAATATTTCATTGTACGATCCTTATATGATCTTAAGTTATTAGTTTTGTTTCAATAATTATTAAAAAAATTTCTAATTATATGTTTAATTTACAATTGTAATTATAAATATTTATTTTAATTTGAGATATTTCCTATTTTAAAAAAAACATAATCTTTTAATAAATTTTTAGGTATAATTAAGTTTATATTATCCATAAAAAGACTTAAAAAACAGAGGAAAAGAGCAACTGAATTCAGTCATTGATGAGGTGATCATAGCTACTTTGTAGCATATTAAATATGATAAGCAGTTAGGCCTACTGTTAAGTGACGAAGCCCTGCCAGTCCTCTAAACTGGTAAAATTCTAAACAAGTCCCCTCAAAATTATATTAAATTTTAAGTTAATTATCATAAAATTTATAACTTAATTTCGACTCTTAAAAGCCTGACTTTATTTATATTAAATTGAAGACGTATCTAATATACGCTATTAATTTTTGGGTTGTTTGGTCATCTAATTATTTTTGTAGTTTTGTTTTCGTCATCAAATCATTTTTTCTTGAAATCATACTTGATATTAAATTTTGGTTCTATTTTGATAATCATGTTAAAAAAATAACAGTGATACCACATCATCGTTAAAAGAATAAAAATTACCACGTCAGCGGTCCTGTTAATTTTTTAATAACGGGTAACCAAAACAGAGTGTTAGATATGATTTTTATAAAAACAAAATAGTTTGATGAGCAAAACGAAACCGCAAGAATAGTTGAATAACTAAGTACGTAATTTACCCTAATTTTTATCATAAAAGAGATCATAAGTTGAGAATAAAAAGATGCATGGAAGCTGAAAGTGAAAGGTGAGGAACTCTCTTTATTTGGCATATATCTTCAAGATTAAAAAGAATAAAACTTTACTTGGCTTTCAAGCAAATAAAATAGCTCGCAAGCAAGCAGGCAAGTGATGCGAAAACTCGCTATACCAAATTAATCATTGGGTAATTTTATTCGAAATAGACGAATAAAATTAACAATATAAAATAAGAATAAATTTATTGAAAAAAAAATTAAAAAAAAATTAATCGCCTGTTTTCACCTATATAACGATTCTAAAAGGATTTAGAAACTAAAAAAATTATGATAAATAACCCAATCGATGGTGAAGCCGAACTTTTCATGGGTTTATAAGAGAATACGTTTTATAATTTAAGATCCCCTATAAAATTAAAATATTCAATTCAAGCGTTTAGAAATAATCTATAGTAATGGCTTTATTGTTAGATTGAATTCAACTATTGATAATTTTGGGTTATTTTTCCTTTCACGGCAACCATCGAACATCAGTTGCGGATTCAAAAATATTTTTAAGAGTGGGTATACATATTTTAGTCACATAAAACTTTTAAATGTGATGAATACAAATAAAATTTTAATGTGGACACCATTAGTAAAATAAGTAACTAATCGAAGAAAACTCAGATTTAAGGGTGGGCACAAAAACTTTTAGGGTGTACACCATTAGTAAAATAAGTTACTAGTCGAAGAAAATTCGGATTTCAGGCCACTATTGGCGACCATACTTACTTTGACCTAAGGATGCGTTTGGTTCACGAAATATAAGATTACCTTTGGGAATAAGATTAGCGGAATGTAACGTTGCTCTGGAAATGTTATATTACCCTGTTTGGTTTCTTAACAGGAATGTAAGATTACAATGTTTGGTTGGAGGAATATAAGATTACTTGGATACATATTTTACCAAATTATCCTTATGATATTTATTTTTTAACAAGTAAAACTTTAATATTAAATTATAAATATTTGAATGAAAATTTATAAAAATATTTTAATTATTACACTATCTAAGTTTAAAGAAAAAATACATTTAACATATAATTAATATAATTAGTATATCAAACTTATAATTTTAAATAATTTTCATAAGTATCATGTTTATAAATAATATAATATAATATAATATAATATGAAAAATAATATTATGATCTCGAGTGGACAAATATATTATTTTTAATATATAAGACCTAT